ACATATTTCCTTGCAGATCAAACACAATCCAAATTAATCTCTAGCTAGGTTCTTAATATAATCCACCTAGATGTTCAGTCTGTCATCCATTGGCCATTTTATATCACCAAAACTTTTGGTGACCAGGTGATTGCTGACTGAGTAGCAACATTTCTTGGTAAACATGCATCACAATTCACCAGTCCTTCATCCTAATAGATTTGTACCACGAAAGTCACTGAAACCAAATTTGTATAGATGGAGGCAACTACTGGCTATGAATATCCTCATGTTGATCTTTTTCTACCACTTAATATGGAACATCTGATGAAGATTGCAAGATTAAAAAATTCACTCTAGAGCTCTTCAGCTTTCCTCAGCACCCACATATCATGGCGGTCTAAAAAAGAGTCAGAATAATTGGCTCTACAAAGCCGTAGCATCAAAGCAAGCTTTATGTGGCAAAACCTCCAAAGGGACCAGAACACAGAAGTGGCTGATGCTACACAAGTGTCCACATCTTTTGAATATCCCACAGAACTGTCTGTGAGGGCTTCCCAAGTATTTGACAATTCCCACCTACTCACCATCCCATTTGACAGTGGTTAATACTAAGTTGGTCATAAACTGAAGCTGGAAGCTGCTTTGTAGTAATGTCCAAGAAGCTGGTTTTATCCTGATTAATAAATGGACCAATACACACTGCTTCATGTTTGCCCAGCTATCAGCTGCAGTGATTCACCAAACAAAGACAACAAGGCACTGTATGGGCATATTTGAGGTCAATGCAGTCAACCAATGCCAATACCTAACAGTGATGGTGACAGAATGCAGCCTTGCCAAACTCCTGTAGAAAATGGAGCCAAACCACATACCTGCCACTGACTCAATTGTTGATTGTGAGTCACTTCATCAGACCCCAAAAATGTGCTCAGTGCACTAAAACAGACATCTATAGAAGTGCTGGACCTGGCTTATTAAATTCAGCCTTCTTCTCAAAAAACGGTCTCAGAAGTAAAGATCTGGTGAAAAGAGGAGCAACCAGGTCTAAAAACACAATGAGTATCCCAGCCTTTGTCATAAAGCACGTAAGTGATTTAAGACTTTCATGGAAGTGAAAACTTTCCCTGGGACCAACAACAGCATAATACCTCTACAGTTACTATACTTGGCCTTACCACCTTTTTGAACAGAAGCCAAAACGCCATCCAGTTGGGTAGAGTACCTGCACCAGATGGTCTGAAAAAGCCTATGCAGTTACAATACAATAGTACCCTCACTAGTCTTTAGCAACTCAGGAGTGAGGTTATAAAACCCTGATGTCCTCCCAGATATCAGCTTACAGGCTATCATTTCTTCTTGGTTGAAAGGAGGTGGCTCTACTCCCTCTTCATCCTCCCTCTCTCCCCCCCAACACATACACTTTAAGCAGAAGAGGAACAGTAGGTCATAAACAATTAGGAAGCCCAGTGATAAAACTGATCTTGTACACTCTGGATACTGCTTTCATCCCAATTATTTATTGAATAGGCTGATGCCACCAATGCAAAGTTTAATAAAAGCTGCAGAAATCTTGCATGGCAGCTGCAGCCTATACCACACTAGCTACCTCAAATCAATCACCAGGATTCTTTATCTTTCTTAAACAATGACTTGATGACAGTCCAAAGTCAAACCCAAAGGAGAGAAGCTTCAGTCTGTAATGTTTCAATGGTCTGGAGCAGTTCAGAATAGAAGCTGATCAATAGCTCAATTCTAATAAAAACTTTTGGCTGAGTCTGACTAATTTCAGACAGTTAACTATGTGACAAAGTCAGAACTTTGGCTTATATCTAGTTCAGCAACTACCAACTTTGGTTGATATCTAGTTGACTACGAACTATTATTAATAAAGACATGATTGATAAGAGCCCTAGTCAAATCATCTGGGCTGTAACAGGTCTACTGGTGATTCTCTGGGTGTGTCTAGACTACCTAGTTTTGTCGACAAAAGTGGACTTTTGTCGACAAAACTATACCAGCGTCTACACTACCGCTGAGTTCTGTCGACATAACGTCGACAGAACTCAGCAGTTTTGTCGACGCTGGTATACCTCATTTTACGAGGCATAACACCTTCTGTCGACAGAACTCTGTCGACAGAAAGTGTTATTGCCTGTAACACTGCGTCCAGACTACGGAGTTCTGTCGACAAAGCAGCTTGCTTTGTCGACAGAACTCAATGTGTCTGGACGCGCTTTGTCGACAGAAGTTTTGTCGACAGATACTGTCGACAAAACTTCTGTCGACAAAACGCGGTAGTCTAGACGTACCCTCTGGGTAGCAGAAGAGAGGCAATAATCACTGCAAGTTCCAGCAACCACTTCCCATTCCCCTGCTTGATACCTAGATGCCTGAGCATATTTGCAGGAAGGATCATTCTTTTCTACTTGTGCTTTGAAGCCATACGGGGTCATGACAATGTCTTTTCTCTGGATTCCATTAAGGACTATTTGCAGCTGTTGGTAAGATGTTAACTACATTTGCTCTGTTGGCCAACTTGTCAATGATGGTACAATGTCAACAGCTGATATGGAATCAGATTTTGATGAGTCCCATGTGAATCAAACACCAGCCAATACCTATGGCACTGGGAGAAAGTATAACAGCCACACTTTCCTAGAGCAACCCACCAACAGAGTCTTAAAACAAAAACATAGTCCTCAGCTTTCTTTTCTTCACTTGCTAGCTAGTGCATTTCAGATAAAGATATAGACAGATATCAGTGTTCAGGCTTTGCAGCTACTTAAGGAGAACACCTTTTCTGTTTTAGTCAATGTTTGGCTATTCCAGGCAGCAAATTTTATATTTGCTGTAAAAAAAAGGGCCGTTGCAAAGTTTCACTGGCATCCAAGACAAACTCTTTGCAATCTCAACTACAAGGACAACCGACCAGATTATCACAAGTTGTCAGCTTCAGTAGAAACATTCTCACAATGTGAACATACTGACTTTGGTATCAATACCAGGTTTACAATGATGCCAATGGCCATACTAAGAAAGGGCCCATTATTACTGACCCCTCTAAACCATCCACATAGCTGGGTCTGGCCCCTCACCCTGGTTAGTCAAGTGCTCAGGCCTTGCTGGGTGAGTGGCTGCCAGACAGCATGTCCCACTCGCGTGTAGGGGGCTCACCACCCGGCAGTGAGGCTCCACCACACTGAGTGAACAGGACTGCTGGCTGTGGAGCTGGTGGGAATGGTCAGCTTGGTCTTGGGGGCTGCGTCCCAGCCTGCCCCTCTTCCCACCACAGCTTTCAGTGATTTCTACTGCATGGGGTCCAGCAGTCCACCTTCCCAGGGCCAAACTTCCTGGGACTGGCTCAGACAGGCCTGGCCTTCAGGCAAGGTGAGCAAAACAGTTGCCTTGGGCCCCGCGCATTCAGGGCCCCGTGCTGCCCAGCTCCCAGCCCCGCCCACCCGGCCGCTCACTCACTGCTCTGACTAGGAGCCGCGCGGTTGTGCGGCTCATCCAAACACAGCGTGCTGCCTTGAGCCCCGTGAACTCTTTGGCCAGGCCTGGATGCAGAGGACAGGCTAGTCTTTGCCAATGTGGGGGGTGGGAAGCGAAGGTTTGGCTGGGCCATGCCAGACAAGTGCTTTTGATGGAGCCTTGCCCGGGTAGGTCCTGCTCCTACTCCAGCCAGGCAGATTGCACTGCTCCCAAGAGGCCAAAACAATGCTCAGCCTGGCAGATAAGGTCACCTCCCAGCAAAGCTAGTGAGTATGGCTGGGGGGTAAGACACAGGGGAGTGTGTCTCTGGGAAGTCTGTTAAGGGTGCTGAGCAATAGACAGGGGGAGAGGTTTCTGTGTTTTGGGGTGCCAGGAATGGGGGGTCTAGAGAAGCACTGTGTAGCTGTGTGGCACTGGGCAAGGAATGGGCAGCATGCCGGGGAATTCTCTAGGCACAGCAGGTCTGGGCGGTGGTGCTAGTAGTAGAGGACTGTGAGGGAGTTTCCAGTCATAAAGGGGTTAGGGCCCTGGTTGGAGAAGTGATATGGCATGTAACAGCACCTGAAGGGAAGGAGCAATGTGGACACTCCCTTGCAGTCTAGACATGTTCACTGGCATGTAAGTTACATTGACTTAAGTGGTAGTGTCGACTGGCCCTAAGAAAAAATTTGTTGTTTCACTCACATCTGTATGTGTTCTCCTTCATATTGTCTCCAAACAATCACAGTTTTAACAAAGTTTAATCTTTTTACATTTGTGTTAAGTTGATTATTTTATCCTCCTTCAAGATACATCATTTACTTTTGTTCCTCTGACATGTAAGTTACATTGACTTAAGTGGTAGTGTCGACTGGCCCTAAGAAAAAATTTGTTGTTTCACTCACATCTGTATGTGTTCTCCTTCATATTGTCTCCAAACAATCACAGTTTTAACAAAGTTTAATCTTTTTACATTTGTGTTAAGTTGATTATTTTATCCTCCTTCAAGATACATCATTTACTTTTGTTCCTCTGAACAACTACTAATGAAAAGCTTCTTATTAGATTCCTTTAACAACTCCTTACATGTGTGCTTTCAAAATCAGCAACTGAAGAGGAAAACAATGACATAATGCAGTTATGCTTATAAAATAATGTGTGTGTAGGGGGGAGTGAATCACTGTAATTGTACTCTTCATGTACTCTGTGCCCTGGAATGAAGATTTATCAAGGACTAGCCAGACAAAATCTACAATAACCACTGGAAACACATTCTCTCTTTCTGAAATACAAACCTTTTGTAGGTGATCAAATTAAGAGACTTTATGGAGGTAATTTATAACAGGGCCAGCCTTTCACAAACAAGTATCTTTAAATAAAAGCATAAATCTAACAGTTTATGCATCTGCAAGATTTTTAGGTAAAGTGATAAGAAAACATATGGCAAATGGCAACTTATAAGATTTCACATCAGTTTCAAAGACTTTACAGTGAATAATTCATAGAGATACAGATACAGAAATGCAGGGCTACTTCCAAATTCTTACCTCTTCTTTAGTATCTTTAAATGATGATTTTGAAGTTCGATTTCTGGGACCCTGAGACTTGGTTTCCTCTTGTTGCCCAAAAAGCTCCTCAATTGTTTTTGTGTCAATCTGAAACTGCTGCCGTCTTGCAGCAATAGTCCAGATATTTGTTTTACCACGGACTTGCTCTTCAGGAATTGTTTTCCAGAAAAAACTCCGTATCCGCTTTTTTTTGCTATGAGAGCCATGCCCATTTATAAACTGTGACAAAGCAGGTGGGGTAGGTCCTGGAGGAGGAGGAGGTGGAGGTAGGGGGGGCGGTGGGGGCGGGGGGGGCTGGAGAACCAGCACTCATGAATGAACATGGTGGAGGCAGCGATGGAGCTGGAGGAGGTTGCGACACTTGTTCTGTTGTCGTATCTTCAATCATTAATCCAGTTCCAACTGAAATAGCTCCATTTTCTTTATCATTGACCAAGGAGAGACAATTCATAACATGCATTTTAGTCTCTCCTCTATGGAGAGACTTACTTCTCTGGATCTCCTTGAAACATTGAACAGTGGAGTAGCAGTTTGTGTCAGACACTTTTAAACTCTAATCTACCAACAGCAAAAACAATGCAGGAGTCCTGAACCATCTTCATAACCTACAACAAAAAACACAATGGTGAAATTCAGATAGAAGAAAGTGGATATTTTCCTCTGGTACAGATAGGAATGTATTAGTGGCAAATATATAAAATTACATGTAAAGCAATCATTAATCATTTTAATTTAATCTAAACAGGAGATTTTCAGAAGAACAACGTTTTTGTACATCCACAACAGAATGTCAGCTAATTATGGAGAATTAAATATAATTTACAACCTCAAATTTAAAGAATTGAGTGCCTCTGAGGAGACCAGAGGTAGGCTATTGAAACATCTAATCTGGATTCAATATAAATTTTAAAAGAAAAAAATATTTATCCCATGCCATTTCAACAAATGGAACACATTTTAACAAGTCATTTTTATTAAAAAAAATCATTATAGATTAAAATATGCAGAGTTAGAACATATTTCTATATTGGCAAATGCTCTGCATGAAGCTTTTTACTTTAAATGGTTTCCCCTTCATTGGTGAATTGAGATAATGTTCCCAGACTGTTCAATTATGTAGCATATGGGGTTTTTACCCTTAATATTTTTCATGCAGTTTTCATGAATAAAGTGTAGCGAATCCCCAAACCCTGGATTCTTAATAAAACTGCAATATTTATGATTACTGATACTGACCATAAAAATGCATTCCTTAAAAAAGCACAAACATAAGCATCCTCATTCTGTCATTGTCATTAGTGGTCATGTTATAATACATTTACCAAAATTTACATTTTATTAGGATGTGTGTCTATAATTCACTCAGATATCTAAATTACTATAGCTACCTCAATAAGCACAGATCTCACTACAGGTAGAAAAAAGGTGAAAAAATGTAAACTCGAACCATATACTACACAGCCTAAGCTCTAAACTTGTGTGTCTAGATGAGATAATCTGGTAGCTCATCAGGAGTTTTCAACGTTACTGTGACAGTTGGATTTTTTTTCATGTTGACACCTCTCAACTAAAGGTGATATCAGTTGCAACAATTTTAAAGCTAGTTAGTTTTAAGCATAATTTAAAAGTCTGTGAGGTCAATCACATCAATGAACAGATTTACATTTTTTAGTTTAATATTTACAGGGAAAATATCTAAGTCCTCTTAAAAACAAGGCCTCGCTAAAAATGTTATTGTTTAATCTCTTTGCTTGTGTATTGGAGGTTGTGATTAAACAACACTGTAACCAAAGATAAATATTACCAAATTGAGTGGTATTGCATGGGCAAGTGAGATGAAAACTAAAAAAGTAACAAGCAAAGCATAGGAACAGGAAACATAATAAAAAAGTTACAGCAATACACTTGGGCAAGACTACTACTAAACAGAATTTTGTTAATTAATCAGCCTTATCCATTTGGCATTGGTCCTCTGATTTGGCAGAATGCTCACATAATTAACAGCAAGGCAGATCACTTAATGTTTTGGAACAAAAATTACTGGCAGGGTAGGGGAAGAAAGAGACACCTTCACCTCTGCCAGACATGAACCATTATAGCATACATGCACAGAGAAAAAAAAGTTAGAGACAAGCCATCAGACAGATGTTCTGCTAACATAGAAATTGATAGAACACTGTCTTTTTCACCTGTCCTTTTCAGAATCTTGTGGGCAGCAGACAACCACGTTTATTACTTTCAATGTAATAGTCTTATTTATTTCACTCTCTTGAAGTAAAGATGTTCATGAGTTTGGGGAACCCAGAAAATACAGGCTCTGAGGATGAAAAGGAGATGAAAAAGAGGAAGGAGACCATGCTTCAAATTTAAATCAAGCTATCTCTTATATAGAGACTAATACAGACCTTAATGTATTCATTTTCTCTTAACGCTATGTCTACTACTCTTTTTTGTGGAAGAGGCAATGCAAATGAAGCGCTCATTAGCCATTTCTTGTGCTTCATTTGCATATTCTCTTCTGATGCTTTTTGCAGAAGAGGTTTTTGTGCAAAAAAAAAAGCACTGTAGACGGGTCCGTTTTGCACAAAAAACCTTTTGTGCAAGAACCCTTATTCCTCAAAAAATGAGGTTTACAGGTACTTGGGCAAAAGGGTTTTTTTGCACAAAATGGACCTGTCTACACTTTTTTGCGTAAAAACCTCTTCTGCAAAAAGCATCAGAAGAGAATATGCAAATGAAGCACGAGAAGTTGCTAATGAGTGCTTCATTTGCATTGCCTCTTCTGCAAAAAAGAGGCAGTGTAGACGAAATGTGAATTTTTAATAAATTCAGATGCATTAGGAAGAACAAGGTCAAATCCTAATCAAACAAGATGGGATATACTGATTCATCAAAGTCCCAATATTAACCATGTGAGAGTAGAACTTCAGATACATTACAGCAGTGGCTCTCAATCTTTCTAAACTACTGCACCCCTTTCAGGAGTCTGAGGCTCAAACCCCACCACTCGATTCTGAAGCATGTAACTTAGCTTTGCACTGGCCCCCCAAGGTGTGTGGGACTCCAGGCAGTTATTCTGCTTGTCACTGCCACCCCAGAAAGCTGACCATGTATGTACTTGTGATATGCCTAAAACTGCCCCTCCATCCCCACATTAAGAAAAACTGACCTAGATGAGTTGATGTATCCCTTGGAAAATCTATGCATACCCCTGGTTGAGAACCACTGGATTAAAGTATTGGGGGGGGAGGGGAGAGTTCTGCATGCAACTCAATGAGTAAAGCCTTTATCTCAAGTTTTAATAAATCTACCTGAGTTTTTTATACATTACTATTCAAGCTAACTATAATTTCTGGATACTCCTAATGCTATGGAAAACTGAATAGCTATTATGCATTCACTTACAGCTCATAACAGTGTTGGACCTAGAACCTGTTCTATTGAGGCAAAATGTTGGCAAGAACAGAGCAGAGACTGACCTATCCGAAGAGTGCCATAAGAACATAAGAATGTCCATACCGGGACAGACCAACAGTCCAGATAGCTCAGTATCCTGTATGCTGACAGTGGCCAATACCAGATGCCCCAGAGGGAGGGAACACAAGTCAACAGGTAATCCTCATGTGATCTGCCACTCCCCCGTCACCCACCTCCAGAGAAACAGAGGCTAGGGACACCATTCCTACCCAAGCCTTTAACTTCTTTTTAGAGCACTACTAGAAGTCAGACAAAAAGATACATTTATATTTTAGAAGGTAAAATAAAAAAAGAACAAGTTAAAAATCACCTAGAAAAGTTAGATGCCTGCAAGTCACCAGGGCCTGATTAAATGCATCCTAGAATACTCAAGGAGCTGATAGAGGAGGTATCTGAGCCTCTAGCTATCATCTTTGGAAAAACATGGGAGACAGGAGAGATTCCAGAGGACTGGAAAAGGGCAAATATAATGCCCATCTATAAAAAGGGAAATAAGAACAACTGAGGAAACTACAGACCAGTTAGTTTAACTTCTGTGCCAGGGAAGATAATGGAACAAGTAATTAAGGAAATCGTCTGTAAACACTTGGAAAGTGGCAAGATGATAGGGACCAGCCAGCATGGATTTGTAAAGAACAAATGGTGTCAAACCAATCTGATAGCTTTCTTTGATAGGATAACGAGTCTTGTGGCTAAGGGTGAAGCGGTGGATGTGGTATACCTAGACTTTAGTAAGGCGTTTGATACGGTCTCACATGACATTCTTATCAATAAACTAGGTAAATACAACTTAGATGGGGCTACTATAAGGTGGGTGCATAACTGGCTGGATAACTATTCAGAAAGTAGTTATTAATGGTTCACAATCCTGCTGGAAAGGCATAACAAGTGGGGTTCCGCAGGGGTCTGTTTTGGGACCGGCTCTGTTCAATATCTTCATCAACGAATTAGATATTGGTATAGAAAGTACGCTTATTAAGTTTGCAGATGATACCAAGTTGGGAGGGGTTGCAACTAATCTGCAGGATAGGGTCATAATTCAAAATGAGCTGGACAAATTGGAGAAATGGTCTGAGGTAAACTGGATAAAGTTTAATAAAGACAAATGCAAAGTGCTCCACTTAGGAAGGAACAATCAGTTTCATACATACAGAATGGGAAGCGACTGTCTGGGAAGGAGTACGGCAGAAAGGAACCTAGGGGTTATAGTGGACCACAAGTTGAATATGAGTCAGCAGTGTGATGCTGTTGCAAAGAAAGCAAACATGATCTGGGATGAATGAACAGGTGTGTTGTGAGCAAGACACGAGAAGTCATTCTTCCGCTCTACTCTGCGCTGGTTAGGCCTCAATTGGAGTATTGTGTTCAGTTCTGGGCACCGCATTTCAAGAAAGATGTGGAGAAATTGGAGAGGGTCCAGAGAAGAGCAACGAGAATGATTAAAGGTCTAGAGAACATGACCTATGAGGGAAGGCTGAAGGAATTAGGTTTGCTTAGTTTAGAAAAGAGAAGATTGAGGGGGGACATGATAGCAGTTTTCAGATATCTAAAAGGGTGTCATAAGGAGGAGGGAGAAAACTTGTTTATCTTGGCCTCGGGATAGAACAAGAAGCAATGGGCTTAAACTGCAGCAAGGGAGGTTTAGGTTGGACATTAGGAAAAAGTTCCTAACTGTCAGGGTGATCAAACACTGGAATAAATTGCCCAGGGAGGTTGTGGAATCTCCATCTCTGGAGATATTTAAGAGTAGGTTAGATAAATGTCTATCAGGGATGGTCTAGACAGTATTTGGTCCTGCCATGAGGGCAGGGGACTGGACTCGAGGTCCCTTCCAGTCCTAGTATTCTATGATTCTATGATTTCATCTGCAGGAAACAAAGTTAATTAGAATGCATTATGAAGTCGTACTAAATTTAATCATTGAGCAAAGCCCTTGAACACAGTTTTCTGTCAAAAGTACTACACCTCCCCCAAAAGTTTTGGTCACTTCTAGAGATGGGACCTATACTAAAGGCCACCCTAGATAGATACATAAACAAATACAAACACACATACACCAACTCCTGAAGCGTTTGAGTTTTATATCCAAATGTTGAATGTTTGTACCCTATTCTAATCAGTTGAATAGGTCTACTTAATTCCAAATTAAGCCTCTTATTCCAGGCAGGCTGGCAGGAGTGTTGCAACAGCTGCTACAATCTACACAGATGAGTATAGGAGATGGATAGTCCAAAAAGGAAGTGAATCATGCATTCTATTGCCTTTCCTTCGGGGAATTAACAGGGGGAAAAAGAGACTCCTCTCCACTTCTATAAGATTAAGTCCATAAGTAGAAGAGGGAGGAAAAGCCCTAGGAGTAATGATAAACATAACAGTAGAGACCATTTTAAACCCATGTTACTTTGGATGATGGTAAAATAGTAATAAACTTATTTTTTCCCACAACTGTGATGGACAGGGAAAAGAAGTCTGGAATAAATGTGTGAAAGGAAGACCAGAAAACACACACAAGCATTCAGCTATTGTGTCCCCACAGATAAGCATAGACAAGTAGAGGAGGTCACCTGCTCTTAACAGATTCATGAAGTACCATAGTTACAAGGAATACAGAGGAATGTCAAAATTCCTCTCTCAGAGACTCAGTTTGTGGATGCACCATAATGGAAGCTACTAATGTGGGAGAGAAGAGATAAACTACTAGACTGCAAAATGTATTGATATCAGCAGGTGTCCTGTAGCCCCTGCAGGGAGGGATAGGCTAAAACAGCAATTCCCACTAATAACTAGGGATTAGTAAAATACACTGGGAGCATGATAGTGCCCTACACACTTCATTTGGTACAATTCAACTGGAGATGCAATTTTATAGAGCACAAGAGAGGGGGAGAAGACATGAGACCAACACTAAATTTTTCCAACATTACAACCTGCATCTTTGCATGCTTTTTAAATACTAATCAGTGTGAGCAACAAAATGGATTTAAAGTGATGCCTTTATTATGTATTTAAGAATGTTCATATTCACACTAAGTTTCACATACTGAACATTATCAGATTTGTAGAATGTACTTTTCAAAGGAAAGGAATACCAACATTTTAATTCAATGGAGCATTTTATTTTTGTCTCATTCATTGTTTCTTTGATTTTCTCTCATACCCATGCCTCAAATGTTGCAGAACAATGAGGAGCTATTTCCCAGTTCAGAAGACATTCTAAAAAAAATGTTTCCCAACCAAAGTGCCATAGAAAGAGACAAAATATATTTGCATACTCAAACTAACAAAATGAAATATATTCAGTGTACAAATTGAGTTTTAGAATATAAACTTTAGAATATGAATTACAAACCACCCTTTACTACAAACTTCCTATTCTCTACCAAATAGATTTCTGTGTAATTATCTCCCAAACTCACATTAAGACAGCACTGCCTTTGACTGCTCATACAGGACAATTCTCTCTATAGTACTTAGATGTCTGGATCTCAACAATAGCGATACAAAGAAGTAAATGGAGCAACTAGTTACCAACCACAGTTACAGCAACAGAAAGCACTGCCATTTATAGCTAGAAATCCATCCTGTCAAAATGTGGGTTGTACAAAAAGAAAGGCTCATATTAATCACAACAGCTTAAAACATGACCATAGTACAGATCCTGAGAAAATTCTCATATGAAACATATTCCTTAAAAGAATGACTGAAAAAGACAAAACCTGTTTTAATCAATGCATAAATACCCCCAGTGAAGACTAGTGACTGTGTGGTCGGGGCCAGCAGACAAAACCATGTTGGTTTAAAAGCTAGCCATTTGATTCCAAGGACATTTTCAGACAATGATGAAAGATGGAGTATTAATATTTTATTTTTGATTGGGGGAAAAAAGACCGAAAAGGTTGGTCCTTTGTGCAGATAAAAAGATGTGCGCGCACACAAGGCTGCCTTAGAGGACCACCCAAAGGGCAGTAAAAATTGGTTACTTACAGGTTGGTCTTTAACTGAAGGCCTCACTACATGGTCCTGGAAACCTCGGGACACTTTAGAAGAGTTGTTTCAACCTAAGGTTGAGAGTAAGTAGTTTGCCCTGCTACTAGATTCTGTCTTGCGCAAACCCGACTTCGAAGGGAAATAGCAGAGACTTGATTCAGCTAATTACAGGTCAGCCAACAAGTGTATCCCGGTCGGATGATTCTTCCTCCCCTTCCCGGTCAGCTGCAATCCAGAGAGGAAAGGGTCAACCCCCGACCCCCTTTGCCTCATTCTCCGGCTGGCTTCGCTGGGCGGATCCTGAGAGAGGCAATTAAAGAAACCCCACTGAGAGCCCAAGTTTGCAGAGTGGTTCTGTCCTGGAGCGAGGGCGAGGCGGTGCGGGCTATCCCGGTCGGATGATTCTTCCTCCCCTTCCCGGTCAGCTGCAATCCAGAGAGGAAAGGGTCAACCCCCGACCCCCTTTGCCTCATTCTCCGGCTGGCTTCGCTGGGCGGATCCTGAGAGAGGCAATTAAAGAAACCCCACTGAGAGCCCAAGTTTGCAGAGTGGTTCTGTCCTGGAGCGAGGGCGAGGCGGTGCGGGCTGCGGCCCCCCACCTCCCGCCCTCTAGGGAGATGCTGCCTGCGCGCTCCCCTCCACAGCAAGTGCTGCAGCTGGAACCTGGCTGCCGCCCTACCCCACACCCAGCGCCCGCTCTACGCCACCCCCTCCCCCCACACCCCTCCCCTTCTGCAGCCTGCCCTCCCCCTCCAGAGCAGGGGCTGGGAGGGGGGAGCTCTGAGCTCT